GGTTAACAAGAACACAATGGTGACTCTACGGAGGAAGAAACTCAGGGTGATAAGGAGAGGGGGGGGGGGGGTTACCTTGGTTGGTGATTGGTTAATGGTTACAGAAGCCAAAAAATCGTGATGACATCATAAAGTGGCCAACATCTGATCAGCTCATTTTCAAACAGGTTTTTATATAAATGGATCAGGACAAAAAGTGAGCCAATATTTTGTTCCTGAAACTTTCAGAATCTCTTCACACAGAGGGGACACATGTTTATGTATAAAAGACATGACGAAGTGGATTTTGCATAACAGGTGACCTTTAATGCGATGGTGTCCTAACCTGGTCTATGGCACAGGGGATGAGACACTGAATGTCCTTTCTGCCTTTGAAGATCTGTGGGAAAGAGCTACTGAAGGACGGCGCTGCCTGGATGGCTGGGAAGCTGATCTTTCCTAGATGGAGAGAAAATAAGACACGCTCAATCACCAACATGGTATTCACACGATTTCAATTCAGGACCAGGAGATGATGTAACAAAACCACAAACCCAGGAGGACACAACAGGCATATGAAAACAAGAGTCATTTGTCATTTTGTTGCTTCTTCTTTTAAAAAGGATAAGGAGAATTAATTGCTCAAAGAATGACTTTCTTTTTTACCCAGTTTTTAGTTGTCTTACCAATGCAGTCACTGTCGGTAAAGCCAAATATTCCTTTGACCTGGTTGAACGTCACATGCTTCTGGACCTTTACCACATTTCTGTAGAATTCAGGGGATGCACTGCAGACAATAAAATGGAATTAACACATTTAGAAACAACTCTTGACTAAAATTCCATTCCATCAACAGATACTTTCAAAGCAGAATTGTCCTTGTATATATGGCAGGGCTTATATGCATCCTCAAACGCCTTAGCAGTAAGGTTTGTCTGGAGGAAATACAAAGATACTTTTTGTCATAATTACCCCATGTAGTCGAGGTCAGAGAAGATGAAGGTTTTGTTGACATCAAAGCCACAGGCAATGATGTCTTTGGCGTTTTCCACAGCAAAGCGGTGGCAGTCTTCTAGTGATAGGTCCTTCCACAGGTACTTCTCATCGTCAGTCAACTGGACCACGAGGGGAATGTCGAATACATCCTGCAACCATCTGCAAAGAAGGACATAAGTGTAACTAGCTTCATTCTAGATGGTGCCCTGCTGATTTTACGTGCTTTTAATTAACAGCGCTTTGGTATTAAAACATTAAAGAGGGAGAACTCACTTGGTGAAGATGAAGGGGATGAGGTGACCAACGTGCATGGCCTCAGACGACGGACCTCTGCCAGTGTAAAGGTAGAAGGACTTCTGCTTCTCATACGCATCCAGTACTTGATGCATATCCCTACCAGAAACAGCAATAAGAGATAATAAATATATTGATGTGTCTTTGTTGGAAAAGGTCAAAGGTTCAAAGTGGATACTTTTATATATGACACTCTTTTATGAGATGATAAATTGCAAACGTGGTTGTGAAACACCCACACACTAGAAGTCAGAAATTAGGAAAAGAACACAATGATGAAATATTTTCAGTTCCTTAAAGGCTGACCTGTGTGAGAAGAAGATTCCTCTTCTTAGAAAGCGATGAGACTTCTGTCCCGAGACCTTTTCTATTCTGTCCACCAGCTCCTTGTCAACTTTACTGCTGCCAAACCTCACTAAGGAAAGGCCAGACACAACTCAGATTTCAATGCTGTATAGCTTAAATGACCTCATAGTTAAAAGTACATTTGGAGAAAACAAAATTATTTTAACTGTTGTAAAAAAAACATGCAGTTCTTTATTGAAGGCAATAAGTGAAGTTAATTTGAATCTTACATATAAGTTTGTCATAATCCACTCCCTTGGCGTTGTTCGTGGAAACGTTCCACGGGTCGACTGTGTCTTCGTCATCAGCGCCACCTGCTGCTGGCCCGTTGTCGGGGGCAACAGAGTTCTCTGAAGGTGGACAGCCTGCTTTGTAGTCCTGACCTGTCATTTGTTTGTAGTCTGTTTTCAACTTTATCAGCAGCTGGACAGCAGCATCAACATCAGCCTACAGGGAGCCAAACACCACCGTCAGATGACTCACACAAACAACCAAATCCCAACAGATTCAAGTGGTACTGTGGTGCTTAGTGGGTGTGCTTCACAAAAGACAAGACTAAAGTGACTAGATAGTCGTTGTTTCAGAAATAAATGTCCCGGCTACATTGGAAAATCCAAACTAACAACTTTTCAATGGAACCACTTTCTACAAATTGAGAAATGGTTACTGTGAAAACTTTTACAGCATGTTCTGTGGGTTTTACAGAGGAAATAGGCCGGTTTATGGAAGAAATATGTTGCTTTTGAATAGTTTAAAATGTCTCTTTTCACTGCTTTCAGCTAAGGTTGTTTCAGTGTTTGTAACTTTAAATCGCAATATTGATATACATATGATTGAATAATACATTTTCTAGTAAATCGACTGACAACTTACTAGAATTATTGGGAAATAACTAGAAAACAATGACTACTCTAGGATCGGAATAACAACAAAGTATCACACTGATGCAAAACTCATATACAAATGTAATCCTTCTTATTTCCAACAGTGCTCAAACGAAATTGCATTCATCACATTATATTATCATAATGGGTTTGTTGCAGACATGTCAAAACAATAAAAAACAAAACTACCTGTAAGGCTAGTCACAGTTGGTGAGCAAAGTTATATCCCAGAGAGTAACATCACTGTTTTCCATTGTAGTTTGTAAACACTTACTTTAGTCGCTTTAGCTGTTTTCAAGGCCCTGACTTGTTCTCCTTGTGCTGTCAGTTTCTCGTAGAGCTCCATTGGACTCTTGGCTCCTTCACACTCTGCCATCCTTCAACAGATACAGGTAATATACATTTAAAGTATATTGCAGACCAATACACAACATTAATGAAATAAACATGTTTTAGTATGAGGTTAACAGAATTACTGAGGTTGTATCTGCTTTAGCAATACTGCATCTCAGCAGTTGGGATTATCCCATATGTGAACCGACCACAGCGAACTAGCTAATCGTATAACGCCTGTAGATTAATAACCCTACGATACGGTATTTCATATAATTAAACATATATAACATACATTAAATAATGGAGTATGTCATTTTAGTGTATCCATCTATTAGATAAACGACTAGCCGGCATACCTTATAATATTCTTCACACAGCTGACAGCTCACTCATACAACTTGCATCAGCTTCAGCCTGAGTGAGGTGGTGTTTGGACAAAATAATTCCCAGGGAAACAGGCTCCTTCAAAGGTTCCGTTATACATTAATAAGGAGAATGACCAATAATAAAAAAGCTATTTTTAGTACATTTAATATGCAGAAGTGTTTGTATTTGTTCATGTTAAATTAATTGAAAATCCTCAAGTTAACCTAATTGTAAACACATATACATCGTAGGAGTACTATCAGTGTGACAACCACTTCTGTTCTGCCCCTACCGGAAGCTTTCAAAATAAAAGCACGCAAACGTGCGTGTAGTGTTACACGAGTGGATAAATCGAGATATTCGTTTTAATCTGAAACTGCATAATCTCTACTGATTTTGCGGGATGTTGAACCTGATGTATGACTGATTTAACGCTCAGAAGTCGGATATTACTTGTTCAACCAAGTTTCAGGTACGACAATTTAATGCAGATGAATCGGGTAGCGTTAGCTCTACTTTGTAAGCTTTATTAGACTTTCAGTCATAAATGCAAACGTCCAACATTAGCTAATTTTGCTCCATGGCATTCAACACACAATCTAATTTCATAATGTAACGTTAACGTAATATCAACGTAATACGACGGCGTCCTGTCTTTAATGTACCTTATGTTTCTTAACTAACGTAAGGAATTATATATAGGCTATATGTGATTTGTTATATCCAAGGTTTCTGAGTTTAGCTAGCATTACTAAGTTTTGGCTTTGTGTTGGAAGGACCTCAAACATGTAACGAAAGCTAAAGTAAAGGCTAAAATGCACAAATTGAAATGATGGACCTCCCTAAAAGGATCTGGATCAGGGTTGCTGTTGTTTACATACAGACTATGGCTGTAACACATCTTAAAGTAACAGGGGAGCAATACAAGCAACCACTAGATGTCACCCTTGGGCCTCCAATGGATTGACATCTCATCTGTTTTCCCTTTTTCTCCTCTGGGTTATTTTCACACAGGTTGTCCTCATGTGAACATGTCATCATTAGTGGCCTACGAGGATTCAGAGTCTGAAGATGATGATCAGGATCGAACAGAGGAGGGATTTACAGCTTCTCTCCAAACTGGATCTTTTAAACAAAACCAAGATGTCAAGATGTGTCATTCCCCAAAGATAACACCGTGCCCTCACAGTTTCACTCTTGACCCTGACAGTTCAGTGTTGGAATATCATGAAAATGCCTCGGAAAGAAGCAGTTCTTCCCTACACCCACATTCACAACCTCAGAGTTGGGATGGAAAATATTGCAGTGACAGGACGGCACCAGAACAACATTTTAGAGATACTGCTGCTCCTCTGAGTTTACCTGTGACTCCGAGAATTATCTCACCAATGCAGACTCTTCCTCATATGCCACAAAGTTTCAGCGATGGGTTGAACTCGGCAAAAAGACATCACACTGTCCAGCCTGGTGTGAGACCGTACATCCCCAAGAGACAGAGACTGGGCCCCTCGGTGGAGATAACGGACCCAAAACACCCAGGAGTACAAGCCTCAGGGAATCAGACCAGGGAAAGCCAAATTCTTTCAGAAGTGTCGGCCAGAGTAAAGCCGTATCTCGCCCACAAGGCTGGTGCTGCAGGGGTACCACGTAGGCTCCTGATGAGGCTGGGGGGCCACCAGGGGCCTGTCAACACAGTGCAGTGGTGTCCTGTGCCTCAGCTCAGCCATCTGCTGATGTCTGCCTCCATGGACAAGACTTTCAAGGTAATGAGCTAAAATAAAACTCTCATTGAATTCAGATCAGAGGATCATTGATACTTAGTATAGTACCTATAGTATGATGATGGTGGAAAGGGATTCAATGCTTCTGTAGTGCTATAATGTAGGCTTTGTATTCAACCCTAATTGTAGGGCTAAGCAATATATTGATATCGTACGGATTTATTCCTAGATCTTGATATCGTAATATTGCATGCGTCTTATCTTCTTAATTTACCACTCTGTTGTTTTTTGTATCACTTTTTTCATAATATTGATGCTTATCCATCAAAAATCTAACGTATTTGGTCTATCTTGTAATTCAAGATTGAATCATATGATAGTCCTTCTTGCTCAGGTTGACGACTCCATACACAGTGATAGGGAACCCTTGTCTTTCCATTTGTATTGCTTTATAACACAAAAACCCATTTATCAGGCAGGTGCCAAGTTCACAGAGGAGGTCTAAGGGTATAATCACGTCCCTGACATGCAGTGTAATTGGCACAGAGTCCCAGGCAGAGATATCAGTCTTTCTGCTTCAATTTATTAATGTACCACAAACCACTGTCTTCAGAATCATTTCTGTCACTGTCAGCTAAATGTATGTCATGACCCCCGGGGCTTCCTGTCTCTCTCTCTCTCTCTTTCCCTTTTTCCAATTCCTTCTCCTCCTCCTTTTCAGTCATTCACACCATAAAAACAATCCTTCATTTCCTACTGTAAAGGTCAAATCATGCAGGTGCTTGCCAGCCAGATAAATATTTCTATCCCAGTACTAAACCACAAACCCCACCAACATCCTGAGAGGACTCTGAATAATGAATGATTTGAATATGCATGTGATCATTTGCATAATCATACAAGTGCAGCAGTATGGAGACCACGTCTTCTATTTCTCCTGGAAAGAAGGTTTGGAGCAGATGGTGGGGATGGGGAGGTAAAGGGAGGACTTGTTTGTTTGTATGCAAGGATGTCTCTTTTCCCTCTATCTCAGACAACCAGCTGTGTTCAGTGACACCATTAGATAGAGAGCATATGAAATACTATCATTTGTCCGTGGGTGATTTTGCTCGATTTGAGTGGAGGATTTTCAACAGGTCTCTTTTTTTCTCCAAATGTTTGTCCCGACTTCAGAGACCTTCAGCCTCCACACAGTCATTTACAGTAACTGGTAATGCATACTTCAACTGTAAGCAATAATGATTCCGTATTGCAGGAGTATGAGGTGAAAAAGAAATGATGTATGATGCAATCCTCATGATTATACAAGAAGAAACATATAATAATTCATTGATTTAAGAAGATGCCAAATGTAAAAATTGTAAAATTCTAAGAGATATTATTTTATTTTATTTTTAAGTAAGCAGATTGAAAACTCTCATTGTGTTTATTAATGAGTTTGGAGAAAAGAAGGTGCTTCTCTTCACAGTCACAAGCAGTTGTCATTTTCCCACCATGTTATAATTGTAGACGTTTTTATGGCAACAGACATACAAGACATACAAACTGCAATACAATAAACTCCATGTAACCATAGCAACAATACTTGAGTTTCACACTTAAATGTTTACTCTCATTAATAGGACCTTGCTTTGGTTTTAAGTGATTACAAACTTATACTTATAAAGGTTTTTACGCATGTACATTGTCTCAGTAAAGGCACAAAATACAAATACGAACGTTAAAATGGGTCTTTAAAGATATTCATATACTGTTATGTAAGACAGAAGAAGAAACTCCTAATAAAAATGTAAATTTAGAAGAAGGAATTGTTCCTTGAAAACAAATCGGAGTGATGTATCAATGATTAGAAAAGTTGCACAGAGGCAGCATAGTATCCTTCTGGAAAAGGTGCATTACCCATAACTGCAATTTCCTTTGACATCTATTGCATGTCATTCCACGGTTTAACTTTTGAAAGTGCTACAGTAATAGTACAATAACACTGTTTAGGAAATGACATACATTGTTCATCTTCTTGTATTGAGGAAGCTTGTCATACACTTCTTACTTATTGACACACTGCCCGCTCTATTGATTATGTCTTCAGTACTGACTGATTCTTTACCTCTCTCTTTGGCTGAAGACGGAGTCTCTCCTTTAGTCTTCCTCCATCCTGTGTATCAGTTCCTTAGAAGAAGATTGAACTTATTGTCATAACGTAGTACAGGTACTTTGTAACGAAACGGTTTCTCTGCATTTGAGCCCTCCTAGTGTTAGGAGCAGTGGGCTGCCATTATGTACGGCGCCCGGGGAGCAGTGTAGGGAACGATGCCTTGCTCAGGGACACCTCGGTAGCACTTGGTCTTTCCGGACCTTCCAGTTGCCAAGCCAAGTCCCTATGGACTTCGCCACCACCTTTCCGAGACACTAGCATTACTCCAGCCAGTTGGCAGCCGTTGTCACCATGGCTACGGCAGGTGTAAAGCAGCAGTTTTGAAGTTGATAACACGAATACCAATTTAGTTTTAATAACACAGAGTCATTTAGGAAACAGATGACTCCAAACAAGTCATTCACCAGGATCCGCTCTGCGTGTCTGTTAAGTGGCCGGGGAAATTAAAGTGGATTCAAATAAATGAGTGCTTATTTACCACCCGTGCCCACATTGTATGGGATTGTTGCAATTGTTTGTGCATTGTATGGTGCATTGTTGGAGAAATCGTTAATGCCGTCACTCACTGGAGTCGGGGCTTAAGCAACATGCAGATTTGTTCTAAATAAGTATGTTTAGTTGAACATTTTGAAGCTTTTGTGACTGAAGATTAGGGCTGTTCGATAATGGCAAAAATCATAATCTCGATTATTTGGGTCAATAATTGTAATTGCAATTATTAAATGCGATTATTCATTGACTTTGAAAACATCCATTTATTGGAGAAAAAAAGTTGAACAGTATGTGTTTAACAGTTGATTACCCTGAACTTAAGAATTCAACTGAAAAACCGATAAAAAATAATAATAAAAAAATAATCGTTTTATTTCGATTATGTTGTTTTCGTAATCGTTGCAAGCCATAATCGTAATCGCAATTCAAATACGATTAATTGAGCAGCCCTGCTGAAGATGCTATCATCAGTTGTTGTTTAACCGATTTCCTGTTACCTTGAGATGGAAGTGTTTCCCTAAACCTAGGATCATATAAAAGAAGTGGCCTCCTGTGTGGACAATGAACGGAAATATTCCTAATAGAGCCGTCACTCCAGTATTAAGCTTCTTGCTATTAGAAGTGTTACTCTCTGTCTCTCTGTCACTTTTTTCCCGCCCTGAAGGCATCGCTGCCATTCTGTTTGTCAAACCACTGCCTGCTGGATGGATATGTCAGCCTCCCCC